AAGAATTTGGAAAATGGTCGAGGGCCGCACTCTTCCATGAGTTTCCTGGGGGAGGTGCGGGGTCTGGGATGGGGGTTGGGTGCAGAAGGGAGTTTGGGGTAAGGGAGGGAGTTTGGGTGAAGGAGGCACTTGTGACTGGGGGCACTGGACTGAGGTAGAGGGGGTAGATTGTGACCTAGGGCAGGGAATTGGGGCACAGGACGGGATGCAGGGATCTGGGCTGTGAGCTAGGGCAGGAGGGGCTGTGATCTGGGGTAGAGGATTGGGGTGCCAGATCTGGGAGGGGATATGGGTGCAGGAGTGGGGCAGAAGATTTGGATATGTGGAGTAAGGGGTAGGAGTGAGGGGTAGAGGGTTGGGGAGGGGAGGCTGGGGTGCCAGAGGTAGGCTCTGGCCAGGAGACTTACCAGCCAGCAGCTGTTCCTGAATCAGTCTCCCTGCCTGCCCCGCCCCCACATAGGCTGCAACCATATGCTTTGGAGCCCCTTGTGCTTCGTGGCTGCCTGTTATTGAAACAGGCAGCTCCCATTGGCCAGTTTCTGGCCAGAAACCGGCCAATGGGATTGTGCTGGGGGTGGGAGCAGCTCCTAAAGCTTTCCCCACCCCTCCCCTGCTGGACTCAGTTTTTAAAGAAAAACCACCCACAGCGGCATGCAAGTGGGGTGAGGCAAGCGGGGCGCCTGCTGTCGGCTGGATCCAGTGGCTTGGCGGGCCGGATGCAGCCCACAAGGCATATTTTTCCCAGGCCTGGAAGAGAGGGACACGCCCACGAGGGCCCTTTCTCTTGCCAGGTGTCACCCCACTCCCTTGTCCTGGCCTGCTGCTCTCAGAGCTAGGACCCCGCCTCACCAGCTCTCGCTCTGGGCCCAAGACGCCCAGGGCCCAAGACGCCCATGGATGCCAGAGGCTTGCCCGGAGCTAAGAAGGAGGGAGAGGCCTGTTCTGGTGCACGGTGGGGATTTTACATCCTCTTCGGATGACACAGCTGTTGGTTGCTCCCAGACACCAGCTGGACCGTTCTGCTCATGCACCAGGTTTGTTTTGTCCGGGCACCTGGTTCATTCGGAGCCCCTAAAGATGCCTGTGGATAAGTCACATCATGGGTGTTCCTTGGTTCAGATATGTTGGGAAGCGGAAGGGTTTCTGGCTCTCGGTTGCACTGTGTGTGACGAGCAGATTTTTAATTTCCTCTTCGTTCTGCCTGGGAAAAGAATTAATAAAAGGAATCGCTCAGAAATGAAAAGTAACCCGGCAGGTGTCTTGCTGCTTCCTGGGCAGCACGGGAGACCCTGGATCAGCCAGGGAAGCAGCAGCTGTCCAGGTGCCTGGGGTATTTACAGGGACTATTTTTGGACAGATGTTTTACTAAGCAATTCACTTGGCCTCGAACCTGCCTGCTGCCCCTCAGGGCATGTGACAGGCGTGTTACATTTGTCGACTGGTTTCCCCCACATTCGCCTGCCAGCCCCCCACCGCCACATGGACAGATCTCTAGAGACACGTGGGTCGGTAGCAGAAGTCCCTTTAATATCCCTGAATTGCATTACAGGTTAATACTGCAGGTGGCCGGGTCTTGGTAGACTTGTCTCACGGAGATCTGTCAAATACAAAACCTAGCAGAAAAATCCATCATGCATGGAAAATTATTGCTGTTGAATTTCCTATATACATTAGAAACCAGAGCAGGGACTGGCTCTCCTTTGATGGCCCCCTCGGGGCAATCAAACTGGGGGGGCTGGCTCGTCCCCCAGCTCCCCCGGAGTAACACCCAAAGAAGGGGCTCTGCCATCTGCCCCCAGGAAGCGAGTTTTGATTCCTCTAGGGGAGAGCCCACCAGAGATTACCCACAGTGTGTGTGCGTGCACACGCGTGTGATTCAGTGCACGTGTGAATGGGAGGGGTGTGTATGCATGATTGAAAGTGTGTGAATGGTGCTGCACGAGAAGGTGTGCGTGCACAAGCCAGGCTCTGCGTGTGCAGTGGGGTGTATGTCAGGCAGCACACGTGTAGAGCGGATGAATGACACAGGTCCTACCTGAGGTTACGGATGTACATGTGGCTGAGTGTGGCAATGGGGAGCCTGCCATGAGGCTGCGCACCTCGTGCAAACGTGCAGCTCTGCATATGTGCGGCGACACGGGTGCACATGCAGGAGCCTGCACTTGTGTGTCCCCGGGAAGCAAAATGCACGGAAAGGATTGCAGCCACGGCAGCCGCTGAGAAACACGCGTGTGCAAAGGCGCACGGGAGGCTGTGTCGTGGAAGGAGGGCAGGGACACATGGGCGTGCATTCCTACACACGTCAGGAGGGACGTGCTCGGCCCGGGGTCAGGCCCGAACCGCGGCTGAGCCCTGCCCTTGTGTGGCGCCCGACAACCCGTCACAGGCTCAGGAGCCGAGGTAGGAACCGGAGCAGTGTGGAGGGGACACCTCCCCGGGGCACTGCACGTGGGCTGGCAGAGGGTGGCACGTTGCATAGAAATGACTGTTCTATCACCAGCGCAGCCTGAGCCCCTGGCAAAGGACCGGGACCCCTCTTGCGGCGCTGAGGAAGACCAGGGAGAACGCTGCCTGGACCAGTCTGCTCCCGCTTGGCAGCGAGCGGAACAGATCCCCTCTCAAAGGGGCAATGCTGAGCCTCGGCCGGCGAGCGTGAGCTTCTCCGGCCCCCTGCGGAACTGCCCGCTGCAGGCCGGGGGCCCCTCCCTGCCCCTCACTCTGGGAATGAAGGACATTGCCCGAGGTCGCCGCATGCGGCGCCAGCGCTCCGCTCGGAGTGCGCCCTGGGACCCACGCCCAGGGGCCGCCGGGTGCAGGCGTGGGCCCTTCTGTCATGGCAAATAAATAGTCCAAAGCATAAAGTATAAATAATATAAATTAGAACATTTAAATAGACCCCTCCCCCGCCCCGGACGGTAACACCGGTTCTCGCCCTGGTCACCGGCCTTTGCCCATGGAGACGCCATCTCTGTGACTGAGGGAGGGTGCTTGGGGACTGTGCTACCCCCTCAACAGCCCGGTCGGCCTCAGTCTGCAGGGTGCACCGTTGCTTGGGCCTGTGGGGAGCAGGGGGGTTGGAGCACTGTCCACAGCAGGGATGTAAAAAAACATTCACTGTGTAACCGATGCAAATTCCTTCGGTCACACGGTTAGGCACGGGGCTCGGCTGCCAGCTCCCGCTCCCGGCCCTCGGGGCTGCCGGCCCTGCGGCGTGGTGAGGTGGCCGGGCTGGGCTGGGCTGGGCCCGCTGCTCCAGGCAGGGCCCCCCGGTTCTGTTTCTACTTCTCGCCACAGACAGAGGCCTGTCCGTAAGGTGGGCTGAAGCCCCCTCCCCATTGTGGGTTGGGCTGCTGCCCTCTGCTGTGAGCACATCGGCAGAAATGGGTGCACATTGACGGGAGCGTAGGAGGGTCTTGTGGCTTCCTCTGGGGCGTGGAATGGAGCCCAGCTGGGCCCCTCTGAGAGGGCTGATAGCTCTGGCTATGGCACGTGGGCCCTGGGGGAGCTCTGTCCCCTGTGGCTCGCATCCTGCCTTGCTGTGGACTTGGGGACGGATGGAAACTGCGGAGGTTTCACGCTTTGTTCCAGGTCCTCTCACGGGAAGGATTTCCCGCCGCAACGCATCGGATTGTGGCAGCCCAACTCGCGGGAGAGCCGCTCGCTCACTCGAAGGAGGGTGCCGCCGTGCCCCCCAGCACGGCCCCCCGTTCCAGGGGGGCGGGTACAGCACTGCCAGCCCCAACAGTCCAGAAGTCCTGAGAATTGCGAGAGGGGTTTGAAAAACTCCTGCCTTGGGGGTTTTCCTTTCATTCCCCGCCAGGGTTTGGAGCCGCGGGGGGCACGCACGCCGTGCTTCGAAACTGTGCTCTGCGCCCAGCGGAGCTCGAGTCTTTCTAGGCGTGTTACTTGCAAACTGAGGTGCTGCCGGGCCCCCACACCTGCTCTGCCGCACGCCCGCTCGCTCCCAGAGCAAGGGCATGGGAGAGTTCCTGTTCGGGGTGCGGCACAGAGCAGAGCGGCTCCAGAGAGGCGTTCCCAGGGCAACACGAACCAACCCACAAGGACACCACTCAGAGATATACTGCACATAGGCATGCCCCCTTCCACCGTCCCGACAAGCGCACAGACACCCTCCCCCTCACAGGCCCAACAGGCGCACAGACACCCCTCCCCCTCACAGGCCCAACAGTCAACACACCTCTGACAAGCCCAGCAGTCACACAGACACCCCTCCCCCTTACAGGCTCAACAGTCACACAGACTCCTCTCCCCCCTCATAGGCTTGTCAGTCCCACAGAACCACCCCCTTTCACATGCCTGACACTCGGGCAGCACCCCTCAGTCCCCTCCTGGCCACAAGACTGCCCTTCCAGAAACCTGTCAGTCACATAGACTCCCCTCATGCTCCTGCCTGTCAGTTGACTCCCCCTTCTCCCCACAGGCCTGTCAGTCGCACTGAACCCAAGTGTCCCACCTGGCCTCGTTTCCTTGTCAATACGCTTAGTTTCACACCATTTGGAACCCACTGAGTTTAGCTCCCGATGGAGAAGACCCCGTTCCTTTCCTCCCCAGCCGATTCCCCCCGGGAGAAACAGCAGCACAAAATAAATACAGCAATAAATTAAATCAATCCGCACGGAGCTTCCCCAGGTGCCTGGGCCTGAAGAGGCGCTCGGGGCGGATCCCCGGGGAGGAACTTGGGCTCCGCGGAAGGCCGCTCCCCTTCAGTCCTGCCCCGGGGCCCCCAGCGAGCCGGGGGAAGAGCTGGGACCAGGGGAAACGGGAGAGCTGTGGAGCCGGCGACCGGCTCCATTCGAGGTGTTCCCTCCCAACCGTCACCCGGTCTGGGAAGGAAAAGTCCCACCGCAGGAAGCCCGTCAGTCAGAGCGTCCCTGGGGCGCACACCCGTCCCTGGCGCCCTGCACCACAGGCGGAGGAGCCCTGCCTTGGCTGGCGGGGGAGTGGCGGGCAGGGGGCCCCTTTCCTCCCTGCCGTCGGGGGCGCTCCTTCTGCCCCGGCCTCAGTGCTCCACGGCACAGCCGTGTCCGGCGCCCCGGGGGCAGGCCGACTCGTAGTGCTTGTGGAGGTAGGACTTGAGGGCGAAGGTCTTCTCGCACTGCGCGCACTTGTAGTGCTTGAAGGCCGAGTGGGTCTGCATGTGGGCCCGCAGGTTGGAGCGGTCGGCGAAGGCCTTGCCGCAGTGGGAGCAGCCGAAGGGCTTCTCGCCCGTGTGCGAGCGCATGTGGCCCTGCAGCAGCCAGGGCCGGCTGAAGGCCTTGCCGCACACCTCGCACTTGTGCTTGAGGTTGTGGGTCAGCAGGTGCATGGCCAAGGCGGGCATGGAGACGTAGGCCTTGCCGCACGTCGGGCACTTCCGGGCCATCTGGCCGTCCAGGCTGCGGTGGGTCTGCTTGTGCCGGCTCAGGTTGGAGGAGGTGGCAGATGGCCCTGCAGCAGCCAGGGCCGGCTGAAGGCCTTGCCGCACACCTCGCACTTGTGCTTGAGGTTGTGGGTCAGCAGGTGCATGGCCAAGGCGGGCATGGAGACGTAGGCCTTGCCGCACGTCGGGCACTTCCGGGCCATCTGGCCGTCCAGGCTGCGGTGGGTCTGCTTGTGCCGGCTCAGGTTGGAGGAGGTGGCAGAGGTCTTGCCGCACTCGGGACACGAGTGGCGGGGGGTCG